CCATGTGTGTTTGGCATTGACTGAGGCCATGCAACCAATCTCTTTGCAAGTGTGCCATGTACTCTGTTGAAACTGACCCCACCAATCTCATTTGACAGTGAGGGGCTACTTTTCAAAGAGTGCATCTAGTGTGATTTTTTCCAGTACAAGGCAATACATGTATTTGCCAATTGATCATGACTCCATGCCTGAAAAAAAGATTTAAAGCTTACCTTTACACAGCAACTGTCTGTTTATGGGCAACTACTGCGTACAGCTACAAAGTTCGCACAAATGCTTTGCACTGAGCAAAGGAAACGACTATCCATCTGAACAGAACTGTGCATCAGATGCCTAGTTAAAATGATTGCCTGCCCTGCTTGTTTTTAACAGGTGAGGAAGCAGCTACTACAACAAAGACATATATTTTGCATCTTACATTCTGACCTCCTAATTTTTGTTGCTCATTTTTTATCTCTTAGTATGACGAAGATTTTGAACCCACTTATTGCCATTTCATTTCTTCAGACTTACCTAGGCAAAGTGTAGGCATATGAACCATTATCTCCCAAAGTTATGAAAAAAGTCTTCGATGGGGATTTCATCTAAATAGTTTAGAATCATAAATTTGGCAGAGGAAAATGGGCAAATGAGCAAAACAAGATAATTTGATAAAGGTAATTGATAAGAACAAAGGAATATCAAGAAAAACACGTCCCGAGACAACACAAGATGAATACAGTTAATCCTACAAAATCAATCATATTTCATGTTTACAAATGTGGCAACCAGCTACTACATCAACAGCTTTTTCATGCATTTTATTTTTAAAGTTATAAATTTTTGAGGCTAAAACAGCCTTATTTATTAGACTTCCGAATGCTTATTGAATCCTCAATAACTGAAAAAATCACACTAACTGCCCTACATGGTACAGATAGTGACATATCGGGAGAACTGCCTTCTCAAAGGCAACCTCTTGAGCTTAATCAAGCATATTAGAATTGGCCAACGTATCCAATGAGATCAAATAAAAAGTGGCAATACTGTTTAAATCAAGAAGCCTGCGGAGGTCTAAAGACCCTATACATACAAAACAGACAAACAGACCCTACACCGTTGGCTTTTGGCTCCCAAATGATACTTGTTTAAAAATGGAACTTCTTAACCAATGTCACTTACACTAAAGAACAATGCTGATCAACCAAATGTCAGTAATTACGTTTGATTTTCCTACTTCTGACATCCAATCAACAGAGCATGCATAAGAAACCACCAGACAGCTGTGTACAATGAGGAGAATCTGTCATGCAAGGGGTCTAAGAATTCTATACTCACAGTTACAATCTGTCCTCTTATTGGGTACACCTCTTTATCGTCAAGCAAGTGTCGTGCTCTAACACCAGGACATGCAACAATGACATCATACAAATCTGAAATCTAGGAAATATGAGGACTTACATTTAGTCCTTACCAATCACTGAATTGAAGATGCTTCATAAATTTGCAAATGTCAAAGACAACAATAAGGCACAGTAGAATGGAATCTGAAAAGTTCCTTATACACTGCATAGAATTAGTATAAGATTAACAATGACCACACCCCTCAGGGCTCTTGGTAGTTTGGCTTTTATGTTATTTTTTGAAGCAACAGCATCTGCTGAATCAATTCACAAGAAGTCACTAAATGTAGAATGTAGAAAATTAAAGCATGTGCATCTTCCATGACAATGAGGTCATTAATAGAATAGCCAAATGCCTACTATTGCTTGGAACTTCCTCTCAACAACACATGTACAGTCTTTTCGTTGAATATACCATTTGGAATGAACAAGAAAACAGTTGGTGAATCAGTACACACTGTGAGTGCCAGTAAATTACCTCACTAAGAGAAGACAGTGTTTGCTTCATCGTCTTTCCTCCAATTGCCTTGTACCTGAATGGGGGTTAACAAAGCCTTATTTAGTAGGTACAAACTTCATGGCCCTCTGTGTCTCAGACCTATAAGTTTGTAAAAGAAAAATTACTTTGTTGATGAATAATAATACAAAGTACAGAAATTTCAAAGAAAAGCAAGACGAAAATTTAATGAGAGAATTAAAGAAATATCCATTTCCAATCTCAGAATACTGGCCATGTACTGGCCATACAGTTCTCATTAACTTCATATTAGTCAGTCCTGTGGGTATTTCCACAAGGTTAGGAAACTCGTTGTCACCACACCAATCCCTAAAAAGAGACAACCATCCTGAAACCTTACAAACATTTGCAAGGAAATTAAACCTTGTACTGTTTAAGAGATTCCTGTATCTTCTTAATTAAAAAAACAAACTAATGCAAATATACATAAAGATGAAATATACAGAAAACTAGTGATTTCTGAACAGGCTGCGACAATTTTTTTTTAGCTTGCCCGATCGGGCAAGCCATGCCATAAATTTGCTTGCCCGAATTAGCTCAACACTTGCCCAAGATTTCTTGGAATCCACAATTATTATGGTTATTTATATTATTGAAAATGGGTCACTTGGGAGACATTCCCATAGGAATGTGCACAAAATTTTTCAAACTTTACCGTCCCATAATTCAATATTCCCTCATCCGATCTTAACCAAACTTTGCATGTTTTCCTTTCAGACCCTAATCTATCATCTCTCAAAATGTGGACATTAAAAATTTTCCTCCTTTTGGTAGTTGGAGCATTAGGGAAATGTCTTCCTAATGACTGATGTCTCCCTTATGTTGAAAAATTTACCACAAAATGTCTCCCAAGTGACCTATTTGGAAATATTTAACTTAGGCCTACTGCATGCATGCAGTCTTTTATTAGGTCCCAAAAATAGTCGTGCTTCCAATTAATTACATGCCTCTTATAAAAAATATTGTTGGTAGGTTGGAAAAAAGTTTTTTTGGGGGGGGTCAATTTTGTTTGTCCTGATTGATTGGCACAAATGGGGATCTATATAAAAATTTCTACTGGCGACAATTCACAAGAATTAGGGGCAATTCACACAGTGTGACTCAGGCAATCACGATAGCAAACCAGCCGAGGCATCCAGACCAGTGGGCGAAAAAATGTTTGCTGTGGCAGGACATTTGTTGAAAGACGCTTGCTTCAACTACGAGCAAAACACTCTCAAAGACTCAAATTAAACTCATGAACACAGAAAATACACACATAAATAAGAGACTAAGTTCAGTGAAGGAACTTACAGAAAACCTCTTGCAACATCGATTTTTTTTTGACCTGTGGCTTTAGGGTTGCATGCATGACTTGTATGGCCGATGCAGAGTAATCGACCGGAATGTATGGTACATGTATAAACTGGTTCTGGTTGCTACATTTTTTTGCACGGGCGCAGCGCGGCGGGAACCAGAGCAGCTTCGTTTAATATATTGAGCTGTGGGCACGTGTTTTCACCACTGTGACAGCGAAACGTGAATGAGAACTCGTGAAAATAAAGGAAGATTCTTTCCAAAAATTACACATGTAACTATGAAAACATACAAAAACACACATTTTAACATGAAAAAAAGATATTTTGTGAAGACAGAAAAGATATCAGCTTTTCTGGACTTGCCTGAACGGGTGCCTGAATGAAAATTTGATTGCCCTGGGCTATCGGACAGGCGATTCAATGCGCCGTTTCCGAATTTCACATTTAAATACATGGTTAATACCATGGCCATTCAAAATATTTGATGTTTTTAACCACTTGCTGCCGGGTGCTTTTTTTTAACCGTTGTATGCGCTGCCGGGCCGTTTTTTCATATTTTCGTTTTTCAAAAATCCTCAAAAATTCAATCTTTTTTTCTGAACGACTAAACCCCATAAAATGAGTGTCCCGTGGCGAGTCTAGCCCTCACAAGCAACTTCCATTGACCCTTCGGTTTTACAGCCTCGCCGCCCGCTCTGTATAGAGCCCCCATTGTGTAGTGTTACATAAAGGCCCGTTTGTTCC